TTTCATAAAGGTAATTTGGAGGCGGAGATGGTGTAGTGACAAGTGGGGCGCTCACCATTCGCGCGGTCCCGGGTTCGAATCCCGGGTCGACTCCCGCCCAGGCCAACCAAGCCTTCTACCCTCCGGGACGGTGAATTGGTACCAGATTCGTCTGGGAGGATAAAACACTGACTTGTACATCGGCTGGCCACCGCAAGTCATTGTATAGGCCACATCGCATTCAATAACCCACTACGATTCTGAATGGAAGTAGAATGCGTGCCGCATCCCACAAAGGGATTGATCAACGGCGAAGACTTTATCCTTTTATCTTAATTTTGGTAGCTCATACTAATTAACTAGTTCATCGGTAAGACCAGTAAACTCCTGTGAGCTGCAAAATGGTATAAGTGAGCCGCTGTGATCACAGGACTTCACAGGTTCTCACGAAGTGGCCTGAACTAATTTTATTTGAAAAGGCATTTGGTGTCCCCCCAACTGTGCCATCCAAAATACAGTATTACAGATGAAAACGCCTACAACAAAGGTCAGATAGAGCAGCGCGGAACTATTTGTAATATTTCATACAAAATGATGGAATGAATGTAAAACTAAACCGTGTGGCAGTCCCCCCCCCCCCCCCTTCCTTTGCAGATGTCGAGTTCGCAGGTGACTCGGATGGAACTGGACGAGTCAAAGCGGAATGCCTGCATTCGTGCGACCTTCACCGAGGACGACTGCACTTCAATTGGACCGGGAATGAGTTTCTGAGCGACAGCCGGCGTTGGACATCTAAAAGAACACCTCGTAAAAGGCGCGGCTAGCTCCACACAAGGAATAGGACCGGTTTATGAGTTTGCGCACGATGTCAGCAATGAAACGGGCCTGCACAGCCCAAGTACCGTGTCTGGATCAGTTTTTTTTTCTCACAGACGCAATCCTTCTCATAATGATGGATAATTTGTCGCCTAAGAACCCCCTTACACGTCCTTGGAGAACTATTCTATCACATGTAAAATCTTGGCGTCTGGGAGGGGCATTATACACTTTGCTAGTTGCTATTTCAAATTCATGTTAATTTCCAGGTTACACACTGGCCACCGTGGTTACAACGAATTTTACAGGTCCTATACAGGTGCATCTCACTAGTTTCGGTAATAACACTCTGGCCCCTATCATTGGCCGAATCTGGCCTGAATCTCCTTGACACAGTCGTGGAGACTGGGCGAATCCTCTTTAGGATTTGGCGCAGGGGCTATGTAGGCTCGGGGGCTTTAGCGGCCGCGACAACTGCGCCAATGCGTCACCGGCCTGTTTTCCACCTAAATGCTCAGCTCTCCCCCTTCAGCGAGACTCTCGGCGTAGATCAGTTCGAACTCCGCCCCCCCCCCTCCCTCCGGCACGCCCACTGCAGCCGTAGCGAACAATATTAGTATATTTATTTATTTATTTTATTTATTTATCATGCCGCATAGGTGCGCTAAGCATACAAGGCAATAGGCCTTATCAGGGTTCAGTGTCGTGATGTGTGAAGTTGCTGTATCAGTAGAATCCCGAAATTCCCTCATCTGCTCCGACTCCTACTCTCATCCTACTTACCATTCCCAGGCTTACCCCATCTCCTTACTAATTTTCCCAGTTTCCTAAGAATTTCTGCTTTTTCTCTGATGGTGAGAAGTTGCCGTCGAGGAAGTAGGAGGAGGGAGGGGGGAGGGGTCGAATCAATACCAAAATTAGCTTCCAGAAATAAACGTTGTGTAGTAAGTCCGCCAACTACGGTAATATCTAGCGCACGTGATAGGGGAAATATAGAGAAAAATTAACATCAGAACCGCTTACCGCAGCTCGGAAAATTCCTGTCGAGGTCAGGTACCACTCCATCAACCTCCTCCTCCTACCTCTTCTCCTCTTCTCCAACGACCATGTACGACCTCGCACCCCTACTTGATCCCCTTAATGGGGCTCTGAATGATGCTATGCCCTGATCAACATATGTTTGCGGTCGATCATGCGTTAGGTTTCCAGTCATAATTGTGGAATCCTTTGGACGGGTAATTTGTCTAGGAAATGGCTTTTATAGGCCAGGTTATTCTTATGCTAGTGTTTCTGGGCAAACACCGGAAAGAGGGGGCACCGACACGCTCGGCGGCGTGGCATGTCTAGATGAGGTAACGCACGTCGTGTCTGCTTGTCTGCGCCCTCTCAACTCAACCTAAATGTCGTGACATGGCTCGGTTTAAGGAACCAACGTCCATATTCTATATTTATTCTGCTAGTGTCACATGTATTATATTGATTAGACATGTCGCGATATGGTGCAGTCGCGCAGCCATGTGTCCCGGTTACGTTTATCCCCTTTCTGCTATGTACAAGCCACTGCAGATTGAGCAAGATTTTCTCTTTTCCAGGTGGAATGTGGACTGACCGAAGGACAACGACAGTCGTGGGGACGTAAGAAGAGAGAAACAGACAATTCCGTCCTAGAATGTGAGTTCTCATTCCCTTTTAGATTGGCGATCCAGGCGACTGAATTGCGAAGTATAAACGCGCCCTTTTTCATATTCAGTTCGCTGCGATATCCTTGTAAACGCTTGTACGGTCTTGACACCTTCAAATGCTCACATTTCAGACGAAACAGCACGATACAGAGTGCCCAAGCACGCCCGAGCAACCACATCGATCGTGATCATCGATCCATTGCAACAGGTTCAAGAACCAGTCAGTCTGGCACGCGCATCAGCAATCGATTTCATTCGTGAAGAAGCTGAAGAGATCCCCGTGTCGGTACGTGGTTGTGATTTGTCAGAAAAAAAACCTCAGATTTGATCAAAATGTTGTCTTATAAAACTTTTGCGCGCAAATTCTTCGTAAAGGTGAAGTAAGCAGCAGTTCTTTATCTATTAGGCCGCGTTCATACTTAGCGGCTGACACGACTGAGAGCGTCCACGTTCCACCGCTAATCGTTGGACTGCTACAACTGGATTCAATCACACTCAAAATAGAGCAGTTTCGACCGTTGCAGTCGTCCAACGGTTAGCGGTGGAGCACGTCGGTGGGCGGATCCCTCGCTCAAATCGCCGCTAGACGAGAACTATGAATGCGGCTTCATGTTGGCAAAAAGAAACGTGTGAGCGTACCGCAACGCGACCGCGCGCCTCGGAACTTTTACTATTCACACTCCTGCGAAAATTCTGAAAACTCTTCCAGATCCTTGTACAGCTGAACAGTTCGCTGCTCTGCTCATAGCGCGTTCATACTTCGCGACCCAAGCGCGCGATCCAAATGCTTGAGCGAAGTATAAAAACGTTCTCATGGACTCATTCCTATGGTATTAAGTCGGAAGTGGAGCATGCGGACACGTTGCGCCCCACAGACGACTTTCAATGCACATGGCTCATTCGTACCGGTTTCAGTAACAATACGTGCTTCATTTTCGTGATTTATAACCTTTGGATTCCAATTGTATTGCTGAATTTCAGACCGTTGGACAGATGTGTCTAGCCAAGCCAACCTTGATAGCCGTATTTGGACTTCTTCTGACGTTAACGTCCGTACAAGCGATCGTCGTTATACAGTACCTCGTCAGACGACTGTATCGTTCACAAACAAAACTCTGAACTGTCACGTGCCATTGGCGGCGTCCTCAATCGATAATGACCACAGTCAGCTAGTCGTGCGAGTGTACGTATCGATTAGTGCGCAATGATCATGTCGCGCGTACCGCGAAGTATAATCAGCTGAGCAAGTGAGTTCGACTATCGTATTGAGGCCAGCCATCCACTTATACATCACCCTGTAGTGCTTTCTGAATCAAAATATCTCACAATATAATTAGATTCACTTGTCTTTATCACCACACTCTGACCACATCGCTCAACTGCGCCGCTATTCAAACCGCGCGCATGTGTGTCAGCAATGTCGTCGTTCATTTTTTCGTACATACTACGGTTATACGTCTCCATTCCTGTTGTTGCATTATATATGCATGCGTGTCTGTTTCATTTTCGACTTTTATAAGAATATCCATGGCTTTTTCTCGTGGCCAACAGCCTTTCCCCTCCACATATCCTATAAATGCCGACAATAGAGTGCGCCATGCACGTCTGCCGCCACTGCGTTTGCCGCTTATTCGCTTTTCATTACATTTCCAGTTCCGTACAGGTGTTTCTTAGGATATTGTGGTGTCACTCACTCAGTTTGTCGCCAATACTTGTTCTATGATGCGATTATATATACTGTGCTGTAATAAGCTAATAAGAGTTATTATATGTTGAATAAATCACTTTCGATAGTAAGTGGCCAAGCTGTAGGATGCGCCATGTCCTTATATTTAGTTCGGATTCGTTCTATAGATTGGAAGATCGTCCCTTATTGACACCTGTAGATCCTGACCAGGACAGGTCGTAAGTTAGAGATCCTCAGAGGGGGTTGTATTTGGTCGCTGGAGGGACGGGGTCTCGTGTTGCACTTGAGAAAAATATGCTCTGCTCGACGGCAATTTTTTGGGGAGAAGTGGAAGAACTTTTATTCCCCACAACTCTAACAGGGAAGCAGAGGACGCGTACCCCCGCCGGGACCTCAGCACGCCGGGCAATTTATACAATGTTTTTTGAACCGCCCAGCCCTGATGTGGCTCTGCATCTTGGGTCGCTCTTCGGCCGGGACCTTTCCGGCTCCTTGCACTTTGACGGTGAGCACTTCGTCCCGCCTAGGCGGCGCCGTGGTAAAGCGTGTCCAGTCTTACCTCACTCGGCCTGCTGTCCTGACGTGTTACTACGTGTGTCGCGTCACTCGCTTCCTGAATATAGTTTGTCACTCGCCCCAACACCTGGTCTGATGCCGCAAGGCGTATGCACCTGCGGCGAGTGAGGAGATTCCAGTTGTGGGCATACGCTTGGCCTGCACCACATTCCCTAGCTAGTTGGCTCGGTATGCTGCAACACTTGCATGAATCAGTAAATTGTGGTGCAAAAACAGCGAACGCTGCGCCACTAGCAAGCCGCTTCCGCGCGCCGATGCGACTCGGATCTCCTGACCCGCGAAAGAGGGGTCTATTAGGTAACACTTACTGATAAATGCGCTAGTGTTAGGCTCATGTCGTGAGCACCGACAATGAAGTACAAGGTGCTATCCCTGGGGCAAGGATAGTTGAAAGGCCACGCGTTGCCGCGAGTAAACCTGCTTGTCTGCGTCCTCCCACCGAAAAGAGAAGAGGTGTTTATATGCCACCCCTACACGCGTAATTCGAAGTATTCTATGAAATATATGTCACCTAAACTCAAAAAAGCCATATTTAGAAGTTTACTGCAAACGTATAGATGTAACAAACAACAATGATCAACAACTGGCTTTGTGAACCTATAGCAAGACTATACAACGTAATTTCGAACCAACAAGTAAAAAACAACTTTCAAGCCCGAACAATAACGAATTCCAGCTGCAAACAATTAATAAAACAACACATGAATATAACATTCACAATGGCTAAGGACCACTATCTGGCCCAAAAGAGGGTGAAATTCATTCGGAAGGGAAGCAATATAAATTTTTTGAAAGACAACTTCCGCGACGATCGGATGGGCGGGGATTCACTAATTTATACCTTGCTCGTCAAACTCCCCTTTATCGTCGCACTAAAAGAAGACGCGCACTAGTGAGGCTGGCGCAGGTGTTGTGATGCTCCGCCCCAGGCAGTTATCGCGGAATGTGTCGTTAATTTTTTAGTATTACCTTAGTAACTAAACAAAGCTATCGTCCCATCGGCTCCTGCAGTGATCAGCCATGGCTGAGTGGGATGCCATACCGTATCCAGCATTGAAAGACCATCCACCTGTAATTAAGCGGATAAGTCTGATACAAAACAAAAAAGGTCAAATAAAGTTCAAAAATAGTTGGGGACCATTTAGAATACAGGAATACATAATACCATCGTCAACTCACCACTGTATGGCCTCTCAGCCTCTTTACTGGATAAATCTCATTATCCTTGAATAAATCTACGTGTATCCTTGCGTAGTAGACCATTGCTGTTCCGTCATCGGATACTGTAGCCAACAGCGGGTATCTGAATCATATATGCTTAGGTACCACAAGCTTATAAAGAATTGTTGTAGGTGA